TGCTACCGTTCAGTCCAGAACCTTGCTATATTTTAAGAGGCTTTGTGGATTTGTGCAAGTTCGGCAGAGAAGCAACATACGGACTTTTAGGTTGCTATATATTATTGTAAAACCTTACGTATTTTATTGTTATCACCACTAAATCTGAAGTGCAGAATTTCAGCTTGTGCTCCTTGCATGTCGATGACAAAGTCGTACTGAGTAGCTCTTTATGTATGGGTGTACATCAAGTGCTTAGTTGAAACGACTTTTCTGCTACTTTATATGGACTAATAAAAAAAGAAGGTATTTGCAATCTCCTCTGAAAGCATGCAGTATGCAAGTTGCTTGACACAACGATCTTTGCTCAAGTGGCTCAGCGTTATAAATTCATTACAAACTGCAATTAACTGTTTTTATTTTATCAGTCAACACTCTTTCAACTATCGCTAGTAATTACTGAAAAAGTCAATCAAGGTTTATCATTAATGCTCTACTCATTTGGGCCCAAAAGGATAGAGATGGTCCGTATCCCCGGGGAGAGGTTTTAACTGAAGACGGAGACAGAATCTAGTCTCCGAAACGCTGTGTTTTGAAAAATAAACAGGACGGTTTTTAGACAGAGACAAGACGATGGATAATATCACAAAACATAATATTTGTACCAATATACCGTCGTCACAAACGTTTAGACCTCATTTCCCTTTTTCTTGGATCGTTTTTTCGTTCTGCCCAATGAGAGAGAGAGAGAGTTGTACGATCTCACACCACACGATTGTCGTTTCATATGTTTTTGTGTGAACTGAAAATTCGCACACTTGACCAACTACGCAGAGAGACGGCTAAAAGACCTAATGTGTCCTTTGAAAAGGCTTAGCTCCTTCACAGTGAGTTGCCGTAAGGTTAATCCTCTCTATCCTATGTTTCGTCTATGGTTTCAAAACAGTTGCAAAACAAACAACTCATTCTACAAAGCAAAGTTAGGTAACGACCTTGGCACGAAGAACTGTACCTGTGAAGCCAAAGGAGGGATGAACTATAATTATGACGTCAATGGATCCCCTCCCTGTTTTTGTTTCATGATTCTACATCCACTGTCAGCTCCCCATTATCTGAACTGCTACAGGAGATTCTGCCGACGTGGGCTGTGTATTGTTTCTGGTTCATGTTTTCCCTTTCTTGCCTCCTCATTCAGTTAGTAAAACAAAGCACTCCTGCAGTCTCGCAAGGTACCTGGAACTGCTCAGTTGTTGTGTTGGGTCCGGCATGACGACTCTCGCATATGGGTAAGCAAGCACAAGCATTTTGTTGCATGACGATGACATTGCATAATTTTTTACAAAAAGTATTATGGCTATACGAGGTTTCTTTTTTTGAAAGGGGGGGGGGCGCCAGACGTTCGAAATATCTCCCTTCTAAAATCTGTGTCAGAAGAAGGATTCTGTTCAGATCCACTCTATTTACAAATTGTTCACAAACTATCCGTTTATACATATCTACAGTAACAAAGTATTAAAATGTGCTTTTTTATTGTTATGAACAGAGGCGGCTGATGAGTTTGTGCATCCTAGACCATTTTTCAGTAGGGGGCCCCAGGGTGCTGAAAAATGTGGTGGGATGTGGGTGTATGTTGGGTTCTTTATTTTTTATTAGAACCATTGAAGACAGTGAGCCGGGATGGCGTAGTCTATATAGCGGACTGGGCGACCGAGGGATCGGAGTTCGAGTCCCGGTAAGGTCAAGAATTTTCTCTTCTCCACATCGTCCAGTTCAGCTCTGGGGTCCACCCAACCTCCTATCCAATAGGCACTGGGGGCTCTTTCCACAGGGGTAAAGCGGCCGGGGCGTGAAGCTGACCACTTACCTCCAACTAGTGCCGAGATCATGAAAATGTGAATGTATTCATCCACTCCACCATACGCCTTCATGGCGTAGAGCTTAATTAGTTAAGCACAGGGACAACTTTACCAGTAAAGACAGGGAGTGTAAACACATTGTTTCTGTTACACGTAAAAGCCTTAAGGGGTCCTCACCCGCTTATGCTAGACAAGTTGCATGCTCGCCTGCGCGGGGCCCCATAAACCACGGGACCCTAGGTCATGGCCTACTTGTCCTAAGCCTTAATCCGCCTCTGGTTACGAAACGCGAAACGTGGGCTCCTTTTTAATTGCAAGTGGTTCTATATGACAGCGAAGTTCCGAGAAAAACGTGTAAAGTAATGGATGAAGCGAGACCGCGCCATAGCTCAAGCGGTTAGTCGCTGGCTTCCCATCGCGGCGGCCCGGGTTCCATCCCGGGTCTGGTCAAAGTGGAATTTGTGGTGGACAAAGTGGCGCTGGGGCAGGTTTTCTCCGAGTTCTTCGGTTTCCTCTGGCAATCTTCATTCCACCAATTGCTCCACAATCACCCTCACCTATCATCTGGGGCTGGTACAATAGGCCAGAAGTGGCTGCAGTACAAGGGACTTAGTCCCACCCCACTAGCAATAAAAAAAAGCTACGCTACAGCGTACCCCAATATGGTGCTTATCTGAGCAAAGAGACAATATGAACCGATTCTGTTGGAGCGTCTTTTTATTTTATGGTCTTGGTCTGACATTTGACACAGTGTACTTAACAGTCTTGCATTTAGCATGAAGCTCTAGTTTGTTCTGTCATACACGTAGAGTTGTGAGATTGTATTGCTGAAGTACTATGAGGCAGTTGTCAATTGCGTGGTAACGAATTCTGCAAAGGTTAGCGATTTGTAGGGGGCCACATTCAGGTATTTTATACCATGACATTCTTACCCATGTAGTGATTCAAATGTTCTTATTTAATGAAAACGTGTGCTTAGGCGATATGTAATAGTCGCAGAGAGGATCAAAAAAGGAAACAGTCGGCAGCTGAAACGGGAAATGTGAAAAATGTAAATCCAAACACTTGCGGCATGGTATGTAGGATTTGAGGTTCTCACAGCAGGGGTTGTGATGAGCTCTGTCTTCTAGGGTATACGTCGTGTAGTGCGTTGAAAGTCAACCGACGTTTCGGAGGAACATGTCGCCTCAATATTCACAGTTGAAGAATAAGCCGAACAGGGAGAAATGTGGGCCTGAGAATTTGCAGCCCCGAAAGCCATTTTGCTAGGTTCAAAAAACGGCAAAGTTCTTGTATTTTCCCGGCAGATCTGTTAGGATTTCCCGCAGCTTAATCAAGTGCTGCGTCATGTAGAGTTACTAGGAAGTGGAGGTATAGCTCCACGCATTGTTTCCCAGCCGCTTTACCAACTAGGAATGAGTTGAGTGGGCCCCTGAGCCGGTCTGGATGGACGCGGCGGCGAAAAGAAAAAGATTTATTTCTAGTCCGAAATTGAACCCTGGTCGTGCGCTCCATATTCACAGTACTGATACAACTACAGGATATTGTAACAAAATTGAATCATGGAGTGAAACACAGAGTAACTCTGTATTCGAACAATTTATTTAACTGCAGTTTATGACTATTAACCGTCTCTTATAGACGTAAATACATTCATAAGACTGATATCATAATTTTATTTGGTTGTAAAAATGAAAAATTATGGTTGTTAATTCTTTTTAACTTACCACAGATAATAGAGAAACACCCCCCATCCATCATATTGCATTTACTTGATGTCCTGAGCAGAGAGGCACTTCCCAAGAACACAGCCCATGAACTGCTCTGTCGGTAGCTGTCGTAGCGCATTCACAACAAAAAGCTGCAATACGATCCCATCTCATCACTGTCTGTCTCNCCATCAGAACGGCTAACGAAAATATTGGGTGGGGCACCGTCAGTTATGTTCCTCTGAAATGCCATTTTGTTAAGGCCACTTATGTGTGCGGATGTGATGACCCTGCAGGCCACTGGTTCCTTATTGCATAAGGAGTGGTACAGTGACACTGCAGATTTTCAAGGCTTAATAGTCATTGCTTAATTTTACCTGAGAGGAAGCAAAGGGGGGAAAAAATTGTATAATGAGGAGGTTAATGATATGAACTTTCCAAAATATTATTAAAATGAGGAAGTTATGGAACATGAAATTGAATGGTTCCTTGAGCCTTAAGCGTTAAGGAGACGAGAAATGCTTGCAGAATTTCGTTCAGGCTAAGGTCAAATGGCGGTTTCGTGTGAACAAGATGATGAACCTTTTAGTTATGTAAAAGTTATGGAGTTTGTTTACCAGCTCAGCAAATGTCACTTTCTTGTAAGGACTCTGCTCTATGGGGTTCATTCATTCATAGTATTTTCGGAATTGCAATAGGCAGGAACTGACAAGAGTGTAAAGTAAAGCTATCCCTGTAACAGGCCATGAAGGCCCATAGGGTTGTGAGACGTTGAGGGTCCCACATTGTCTAGACAATCGGCTCAAAGATGGCGGTAAGGTTGTCAGCCCTACGCAGCCCAGGAAAATTATTTAATTAATTCCTGGTACTCATTTCTGTTAGAGGCTGAGTCGACCCCAGGGCCATAGTGCGGCAGGCAGATTAGGTCAATTAAAAACATCCAATGACCTCATCGGGACTTGAACTCGCGACCTTCCGGCTTGTAGCATAGTGCCTCAATCAACTACACTACCGCATGCCCCGACAAGAGAGTAGCTGCGAGTTATAAATCTGTCCACATGGAGCAGTTAGGGAGTACCCGAGAGACAAGCATGGACAAGCTGGGATCATGAAACTGTGATGTCGCCGTCTTTCGTTTCGAATTTTCTGATTCGTTTTTTTTTTATTCAGGTTGTTCCAGCAGCGCGCCGGCTGCGACGCCAGGCGGNTTAGGTCAATTAAAAACATCCAATGACCTCATCGGGACTTGAACTCGCGACCTTCCGGCTTGTAGCATAGTGCCTCAACCAACTACGCTACCGCATACCCCGACAAGATTGTAGCTGCGAGTTATAAATCTGTCCACATGGAGCAGTTAGGGAGTACCCGAGAGACAAGCATGGGCAAGCTGGGATGATGAAACTGTGATGTTGCCGTCTTTCGTTTCGAATTTTCTGATTCATTTTTTTTTATTCAGGTTGTTCCAGCAGCGCTCTGGCTGCGACGCCAGGCGGTTTTCATCAGCGATCCCCAGCACTGCTCGTGGGACTGCGGGTGATGTACTGGCTCTGTCCCACCTTCCCCTGGGGTTGCCACCACCCGCCCAACAGCGGCGGAAGTTCAGCTTCCCAGCAGCACTACATTCCAGCCTGCTAGGGCTCACTGGATCTGCTGGAGGTGAAGCCGGAAGTGTTGTTGCTGGTTCAGCAAGGCGACGCTTCAGCAATGTCAGCGATGCTGTCTCACGTAAATTATCGAATACCATCGGTTGGCGGACAGCACCTATACCAACGCAAGAGATAGTGGAGCAAGGGAAGTCGCTATGTGGACAGTATATTCGTAGACGCTTGAAGCGCTCTGGTGTTTTTAATAGGAAGTGTGGGCTTCAGAGGTTAAGGACAGCAGCTAATTTACCGGGAGGTTACGTCGTCAGAGACGTGTTTCCGGAATTAGCCAGTATAGGACAGGAGCTGGAGAGAATGTACCCGAAACTCTATACGTCCGTGGCTAGACAGGCGAGTCCGTCTCCCGGAGGTGGCAATTTAACGTCGGATAAAGCTGCAGGTGTCGTCTTAACAGCAGTAGCACGCGAATTGTTCAAGGCGGATGTGACGTGGGGCAAAGTGGTATCTCTGTTCGCGGTGGCGGGAGGCTTAGGTGTGGATTGCGTGCGGCAGGGCCATCATGAGTACCTGCAAGGCTTGTTGGAAGCAATGGGCGAAGTGTTAGAAGAAGAATTGGCTGCTTGGATAGTCGGCAACGGTGGATGGGTGAGTAGGATGTGACGTATGTGGCCGTGAAACAAAGTTGATTGGCGACTTCCTCTCGGAAATGAAAGGTGCAAATGTAAATAATGTTTTCTTTTTTTCTGTGCTGAATTAAGCGCGAGCCGTAAAGAAATATGGGAAATTGGCGGATTTCTTGCCCGGTACCGAGCTCCAGTGGTCAAGCAAGTATCCTGTCGCTATACTGACCGAAATGTCCCGGATGAAATTAGGGATGTCAGTCTCTACAATGGACCACGTTGAATTAAAAGTGTCTAAACCTCATTAAATAAGCTACTTATTTGAAGTTTGGGGCATTTGTATTCTCACTGAAGTTTACGAATAAGGATATTTTGTTAATTGAAGATTAAAGTTTTAGGGAATTTCAATGTTTAGCAGCATGTATTGTCCGTTAAGTCGAATTTGTTCGGCAGTGGATAAGTGGACGCTGATATAACAGTGCGTAGTTACAGGAAGTGTGCAGATTGGAAGAGGAGTTCGACAAGGATGCTGTTTATCACCAATTCTGTTCAACTTGTACAGCGAATGCCTTACCAAGGAAGCTCTGGATGGGCTCGGAGACTTCAAAGTAGGAGGGCAAATTATTCAAACTGTGAAATATGCAGATGACCTTGTGTTAATGGCTAAGGAAGAAACTGTGCTACAGGGCATGATTGATAGACTAATTGAAATTGGAAGGTGCTATGGCATGGAAATGAATGTGGAGAAAACAAAAGTAATGAAAATTTCGAGACAACCAACCCCAGTCACAATAAAGATAGACCAAAAACAACTGGAGAATGTGAAATGTTTTAAATATTTGGGTAGCTTGTTAACAGATGATGGAAGGTGTACTTGTGAAATTAAATCCAGGATTGCCATGGCAAAAGCTGCATTTAGCAAGAAGAAGAATCTTTTTACCAGCAAATTGGACTTAAATTTGAGGAAGAAACTAGTGAAATGCTACATTTGGAGCATAGCTCTGTATGGGGCTGAAACATGGACACTTAGGGCAGTAGATCAGAAACATCTGGAAAGTTTCGAAATGTGGTGTTGGAGAAGAATGGAGAAGATCAGTTGGACCGATTATGTGAGAAATGAAGAAGTGTTAATTAGAGTCAGTGAGCAGAGGAATATCCTACATGAAATAAGAAAACGGAAGGCTAATTGGATTGGTCATGTTTTACGCAGAAACTGCCTTCTAAAAGAAGCTATCGAAGGAAAGATAGATGGGCGGATAGAAGTGACAAGAAGACGAGGAAGAAGACGTAAGAAGATGCTGGATGACCTTGGGGACAGAAGAGGATACTGTCATTTGAAGGAGAAAGCTCTAGATCGCATTAAGTGGAGGAATTGTTTTGAAAGAGACTGTGGACCTGTCGTCTTGACAGATTACTGATGAAGATGAAGAAGTTACAAGCTGTATTACTTCAAGCTGAAGCCAGAAAGGATATCTGAAAAACATCCATGCAGCCAGATACGTATTCAGGAAACCAGATCCGTAATGGAATACTCTGTTCGCGTCTCCTATTCACGCAACAGTCCGTGGCTCTAGTAAAGTGCAAGACATGTTGCTATCCTCACATTTCAAATACCATCTTTGTTATTTTAAGGTTCTGTCATTAGCTAACTTGTGAACTATAGAGTTAGGAGATACTTCATAGGTACAGGAAACCTAGCGGTTGCTCGGAACCACCCTTCGTCCCTAGGAAATATGACGTCCAGAATATATTCTTTTTTGACGGCAAGGAAGTCCCTGAACAGTCGGCAGCCTTCCTTGGGGTTGAAGCTGTCACATTCAGTTCATGCACTGATGCTGACTTGCAGGGATATGCTTACTGGTGTGATTTTCATAAATATGAGAAGCTGCCTGAGGCTTTCCGTTATGCGATCAGAGAGGTTCAGTACTCTGTCCCTTGACTACACTTAAGGGGCCCATACACGTACGAGTCTGGTTCGCGAGTCCGGCTCGGCTAGCTTGACTCGGGAGCCGGGCTCGGATTAATTTCACTACAAACGCATGAGCTGACTCTCAACTTTGCGACCCACACACGGACGAGTTTGGCTCATTGGAACCCGAGCCGAGTCGGACTCGCGAGCCAGACTCGTACGTGTATGGGCCCCTTAACGGCCTGACGGAACTCGGTGCGTCAGCAACTGATCTGGTTTCCCTAAACCTGTCAATCAACCGCCGTACCGTGTTGCGATGTAGTTCCTCAGACTCGGAAAATATTCTGAAGGGTTGTGACAATAGTGGCCCGGTGATAGAGAATAGCTCTTTCTAAGGGGCCCAACTGAGTAGGTGTCTTCCTTTCTTACCTGAAGACGGAAACAGATCAAGTTTCCGAAACGTCGTGTCCTCTATTACCTAGAATTCCGGACGGTGGAAAAAGCCCTAAGAATATGGTTAATTTGTAAATCTCTTTAATATTTCATTCTAACTGGAGATAAACAAATACTGGCAATTCATTATGTAGCTGAGCTACTGTTAGCTTTTGAAGTCTCCGTTTCATGGATATAGTCATTCAAGATAAGGGCAGAAGTTTAGAAGTGCAAATGATGAAAATGGTAATAGAAAATATCAACCATTTCTAAAATTGTAAATGTGAATATTTCTCTGACTGTTTCTAGTGAAGGCAGCACCGAACGCCAGGCGTCCATGCAAGCAGTTCTGTGCCTTCGACTTAACAGCAGAAGTAACGGACATTTTGTTTTCTGTTTCCCAGACTGCCTTGCTCTCACACTTCAAGCCACCTAGTACTGAAGTGTCGGTCAGCGGGTTTCTGGGAGTCCTCGGCGCTGTCATGGCAGCAGTTGTCTTCTTGGTCTTCATCGCACGCTGGTTCGGAAAGTTCGCATTCATCTAGCTGCGCTTCCAGGGCACTGTGTCAACAATGCCATGCTTGCATTGCTTTCAACTTTAGCGTGTACAGTGTTCCGTGCGTGTAAAGATCAGCAAGTTTTACTCCTACTGAAGTGTTAGTCATCTGTTTGCCACTTGGAATTTGGTGGATCTGCGAACTATATTATGTATGAAACATCGACAATTTATTTATGCAGAAAATGGAACTGGACAGTGAAATCGACAAGGGAAATTTTGTAAAAATGAAAGAAAGTGTATGCCAGACAGTTATATATATGTTAATTCCTTCTAAATCATCTCAGAGTTGATCAAAGTAATGTACTTGCATTCTACCTGTCATCCCTGCTTCCTTCCAGGTACGAGTATAATCGAAGTACTGAATGCGGGAAGCAACTTCCCTCATGTTGGCTATAGCAATGGGGATTCCTTCCTCTACCCTAGCCACCTCCAGATCAGGGAGTACACATCGTCTCATAAAAAGAAAAGTCCGAATCATTATATATTTCGAGTACCAAGAAAAATAAATTGCCTATAGATATATTCAGGAAATCAGTTTATAGAAATTACAGTTCAAAGAAATGGAAATATGTTACAGTGATAAATGTTCACTGAGAAAACAGGAGAATACTAATAAATCGAAACGCTGACCATTATAAAGGCAAGACAATACGAAGAGTTGAGCCACGAATTAAACCTTGTGTAACCTGAAGTGTCCAGACAGCTGCACCACAAATATCCTTCACGGGAGATACCGTTAATGTTCTATCCTTAGAATGAACAATTTCAGCCATCTTCGAATAAAACCTCGGTTCCATTGTGAGAATATTCCAACTGCAGGGTAGATTATTTTTATTTTTCATAGTGATTATTTTATCAATGTTAATGGTTTATTTGTCGAATTACAAACTATAGAACAACAGTTTGGAAGGGAAAAACAACCGTTTTTCAGTTTTAATATATTGTGGCATGTAGACACGTTGCTAGGCAACGATCGAGAAATAGGCAGCTGTACAAGTGGCTCTGTGAACAACGAACTTTGCTAGGTAAAGGCCGTAACAGATAGTCACGAAAATAATAGAAGAGCTGTTGGAAGCGATGTTCTCTGTGTGGTCCGTGCCTAGGCTATGTAACGAGGGCCACCTGCCATTAGAATACTGCGTCTTGAGACGACAGTTAGAAGAATAGGAGGTAGTTGCTAGTCAGTAAGGAAGGAAGCAGAAGATATGTTGGGTTCTGTTACCACGTAACGAATGGTGAAGACAGCAAACTGAGAAAAATTTACGTGTACTGTATTTACAGTGATTTTTGGAGTGTAACTGAGCGAGACTGTCATATTTATTTGTAGGTACAATTATTTATTTGAGTCCGTCGTAACACAACAACATAATAGTCAAGGCTAAAATTAACTTAGCTACATGTTACGGCTTTTCAAGCCATCATCAGGCAAAGACATGATTACTATATTCACACACTATTGAACTGCAATTGCGATAGTAGAGCTGGATGCTTGATAACTGTTACATTATAAAATACAAGGTATAAAAATACAATGAATTATAAAATTATTATAAAACGAAAGTTATGGAATAAAATATGGTTAAAACTCTTCATGTGATATTGAATATCATGAAATCAGTTGGAATATAACAACAAGATTGCGTAGTTTTACTCAAAACGCGTTTCATACTGTTGTCATTATCTGTGTTTAGATACTAATGATTCTCTACTGTGCTGTCAGAAAATATCATTTATCCGTCACTAGAAATATGCTTCATTTTATTTCTGCACGAAGGTTCAAATTTCTAATCGATTTTATGATACCCCTTTGGACAATCATCATTTTGACTTCCGAAGCGAGAGTTACGGATGAGTGCATTTGATCTTTTTTTATATGATGTATGTACATTCGACATCATATTTTCGTCTGCGTACTTTTCTTTTGGGCTGGGATAAGCAACACTGGTTTTCATTGATTATGAAAAATGTGTGTATTAATTCATAACCATTTTACACATATATATGCAGCGTAATGGTGTTAATTAATAAATGACATGTGAGTTTGTACGTCTGAGGTTCTCACTTGGGTGGTTATAAAGAGTTCTGCTTTCTGCGATATAACATTGTTTAGTCCAATGAAATTTAACCGACTTTTCTGAGGAACATTTCGCCTCCATTTTCAGCGTAAGGTTAAGCTGATTAAGACAGTAGCGTGCCACAGTTATGCTGCCTGTTACATGCTGCTTTCTTCGATGGGACCATTATTCTTTGAGTGTGATTACTCGTATATTTCTATTTAATGAGCAAATTATCAGTGTGAAAACATTCCTACCAAAAAAGATCGATTCGATGAAATATTACTTTTTTATTATATAGATCTGTTCTTTAGAGTAAATGTCACTTATGGACAGTCATTATAAAGATATAATCTTAGATTGTGTGGTACAATGAAACGTTTTACAACTGTGGTACAATAGTTGTGAGAGTGTTACTGTTTTCATAAATATATATACAGGCATAACTCCTGAGATATTACAGGTTCAGTTCCAGATCACCGCAATAAAGCGAGTCACATGAATTTTTTGCTTTCCCAGTGAGTATATAAGTTATGTTTACACTATGTTGTAGCCTGTTAAGTTTGCAATAGTATTATGTCTAAATAATGTACATTCCTTAATGAAAAATACTTTATTGCTAAAAAATTCTAACCATCATCTGAGCTTTCAGAGAGTCGTGATCTTATGCTGACGGTGAGTCTTGCCTCGATGTTGATAGCTGCTGACTGATTAGGGTGATGGTGTGGCAGTTTCTTAAAATAAGACAACAATGAAGTTTGCCGAATTGATTGACTCTTCCTTTCACGAAAGATTTCTCTGTAGCATGCGATGCTGTTTAATATCAGCGTCCCAAACAATTACGATAGTAGCATCAAAGATCACTGATCACTGATCATCATAANTGCCTGTATCCATAGAAGACAGCGTTGATTCTGTTTGGAATATAGCATGGAACCAACACCGCACAGAGAAATTAGTGAAGTTTAAAGACTGTAAGCTTCTCTCAAGATTTGCCTTTTGAATCAACGAGAGTATATATTATACAAGATAAAAGGCGAAATTTAAATATTTGTACTCATTCAACATTATAACATATTTTACAAAAACGAAAAACTCATTTATAAAACTGGTGATAGAAGTTAATCTTTTGTGAAACACTAATAATGATTGTAGGGACATTTGTAAATACTCTGGATGCCTGTATGACTCGAATCTGTTACGAATGTAAATTAATAAAATCGTTAGCCTCGTTTATTGTTAAAAAATGGTGTGACTTATTTCTAATTCGCCAAATACTGGTTTTACCCGTACTTCTCGTAAAATAAACTGACCTACATGTACACTTAATTTTTTTTATGTGAATGCGGACTTCAGACAAAGAAATCGGATGCTTCCCCTATGAATTTGCTCAACGGCTGCTCTGTCTAGAGAAAGAAAGAAAAACAGAAAGAGAGAGTATGTATTGTCACGTGTTGTCCCTTGGCCACGTCACCGCTGGCGGGGTAGGGGAAGGAGTGTTGACTTGCCTGCTACCCTAGTAACACCAGCGCTCTGATGGTGTTACGTCACCGCTGGCGGGGGGAGGGGTGTCCTGCATAGCGAAAAGCTTCAAATTATACATATTTATATATACGAGGTTTCGGCTTTCTTTGATATTGGCCTGTGTAAAAATCAGGTTAACATTCATAAAAGAACACCGGTGAAATATTGGGTAAAATTATACTTACATGTGTCAGACCGTAGGAAAGTCTCATTAATGTGCGTAAAATTAGACCACCTTTCGAAATGTTAAAGTAGGTCCTATTTTAACTCCTAATGATTCTACCACTTAATTGACAGAAAATTGTAAACTGCAAGAAATAAACACAGAATAATTCGTTAAATTCAGTCCCAGAAACCTAAAGAATTGATAGCGATTATGTTGACTGATATACTCGTAAATTGAGTTTTGTAATATGATCAGCCAACTCATGTTATAATATTAGGTTTCTAAATGCGAACATACAAGTTTGGAATATTATTTTAACAATTTGCAGTTTTATAAAATATAAACGTATTCGAATTGCTGTATGGTAAAAATGTTTTATTATGAGATTACGAGATTTTATTACGAGGTTATTAAGAACTTGGTATCGTCTTGTGTAGTTCACCACTGTTCCACTGTACACCGATACACTGTTTCTTCCCCTTGTCGCTGGCAGCAGGGAACTCCAGCGCAACCTCGATAAATAGAATCGACAAAGCACTGGTGTGTTCGGACTATCGAATCTTTCGGATTAGATTATTTCAAATAATAAATTCTGTTTTAATATAATTATTTACTCGAAAGATTTATAGATGCATTTTTATGTAAACAATGAACCAAAACAAAACAAACTAAATGGCTTTAGTCCGCAAGCGAACTGTACCGACCGAGCGACCGCCGCTTGTCGGCGAAGTTTGTGCCAATTTCTGTGGATAGAGGATGTCGCGTGGTCAGCGCAACGAATCCCCTCGGCCGTTAATCTCGGTTTTCTAGACCGGAGCCGCTATTTCCTTGAAATAGCTCCTCAGTTATGCTCACGAGGCTGAGTAGTCCTCGTTCCAGATCCACTACTTCCAGAAAATTTGGTGGCGCCGGGAATCGAACCCGGGACCTCTGGAACTGTAGCCAGGCACTGTGACCACTCGAGATTTTTTAAGAAAATAGTATTCTTTTTAAATGTAGTTGACTTTCGACCACATACCGGGCTTGAAGTAACACGATTACGTGTTTCCCCATCTAGAGATGCGGATCCCTTAACACATAATATGTTTAACATGAATTCGCTTTTACTGCAAGGAAGTAAATAATTATATTAAATTTATAATTTGTTGAGTTCCTTTTTCTTTTTTTATGGTGCTGTAAGTCATTTAGGATTACTGTGGTTCCGCTGTAGTTGACTTTCATACCACACGCTGCTTCTCCATTCGCGAATTCTCTAAGCTGCCTTTCTCTTGCAGCGAGACACTCCTCAAATGCCCCTACCTTTATGCCGGACACGCTAGCTCATCTTGCCGTGACGCAACAGCGTGCAGTGTCACTGTGTTCGCTCTGTTCGGTTCGCGGCAACGTCGATCCACGATAGTGTCGGTTTTCCAGCGAGCATCAAAGGATGTTACATTACACTATTAGAGCAGGTGTCTACGTGTTTCTGCTGGCGTTCGCCAGGAAACCGTTCCTCATCAGGTCCTGGTTATTTCCGAAATCTCTTTCTCACATTCCCTTCTTTTTCCATATTATGCTTGAAATTTTCAGTGCAGTGGAATAATGAAATCAAGTTAACATTCATAGAAATGTACGTACAACGCTAAGCCTATGCTCTGGGATCCAACACATTCCAGGTATTACGCTGGGAAGAATTAATGAAGGCTGAGGGCTCCAGAAATAATCTGGTCGGTTGCAAATTACTCCCTGTGTGGTATCCTTCTTCGCAATTTTCGGACCGAATAAATTAATCAGGAATTCAAAATATGGTCCTGTGGTCGACTCAGCCTCTACCAAATTTGAGTACCAGGAATTTTCAGGAGGGTAAAGGGAGGCCAGCGCGTAAGGTTGACAGATTCAGCGCCATCTATGAGCCGATTGTCTAGAATATATGGGAACGTAGAAGTCTCGCTACCTTATGGGCCTCCATGGCCTGTCACAGGGATATAATTTTACCACTAATCTCTTGGAACTTCAAGTCCGATAACAAACTAGTACCACAATACACAATTCTACTTCTACACAACTAAAAGGTGCGACAATTTAATTCCAGGAATGGCCCTGTGAAAGGAAAATTTGCTCACCTGTGCACTACCGGCTGCTGCTGCTGCTGCCTTCGAAATACTCGCCTCGTAAAGCTGTGCAATTCGTGGAACGATGGTGTCACTGGCGGAAAATCTTGGAAAACATTTTCCGGAATACCTCGCAGTAACGTTGTCACGTTGCGTTGGACGTCAGGAATGTTAGCAAATCTTTGTACCCTCAGGGCATTTTATAATGTTGGACAGAGCAAAAAGTCGCAGGGAGCTAAGTCAGGTGAAATCACTTGGATGGTTCAATTTGTAACGGATTTCTTAGTCACGACTCGCGATCTCTTAACGCATCATGCACAGGGGCATTGTCATGTTGGAGAATCCACTTGTCTGGCCAGTGTTCGGGATAAATTCATCCAAAATATTAGCTGGAAAACACGAAGGGTGAAAGCATTTCCGCTTATATCGACGGCTAATATTAAAATTGATCCTAATTAAGCATGGCGTAATAGTGTGGAGGCCGGTCACGGTTTCCGAACGGTCTAAGGCATACAGTGTATTCGCTCGCTCGGAAGCCGGGATCGTGGGTTCAAGTCCCACTCAGGGCATGGATGTTCAGTATTTGTGTGAGTGCATTTTTCTGTTTGTGTACGGGTAGAGGTGTTGCGACGAGCTGACAAGCCGTACCGAATGTCTTAAGATCTAGTAGCGTTTCCCCGGTGATAGACAACAGAAGGTTCACTGCGTAACAACGGCCGCGGATATGTAACAAGGTAATACATTCTCCGAGACAGTATTGGGACGGCTGTCACCGAAGACAGTTGAGATCCAGCCACGGCCAAGGACAGTTGAGACGTCTCACTGGAGTATTGGGCCAGAAGTCAAGTGACGCTGCGAGAGGTGATAATTATAAGGTGTGTAAGTGTGAGTGTCCAATAAAGATTTGCTAAATCCGAGACCCACGTGAAGTTATTTGTCGCGTGACATACCCAACACGTGACAATACAATATGACTGTCCAGCGTAACGCAAAATTCCTTTACAGGAATTTTCTCCATTACATTATTAAGTTCAACACATTTCTTTACGTACCCACTTCCTTCACCCACACTCTTTCTTATCAAACCACTTTATACCTTTTTTTTTTAAATCGCTTAGTGGGTGGTGGAGTCCAACTGGGTCCACTCGGCACCGCGGCCACTGAATGGCCTATTGTACCTGCCCCGGGAGATTATGATGATGGAGAATTTGGTGGAATGAAGATTGGCAGGGGAAACCGAAGTACTCGGAGGAAACCCGCCCCAGCGCCACTTTGTCCACCACAAATCCCACTTGACCAGACCCAGGATCGAACCCGGGCCGCCGCGGTGGGAAGTCATTGACTAACCGATTGAGCTATGGCGCGGCCTATTATTTATTTAACTGCGTTGTCAGTGGGTCGGATTATTGACATAGCGATAGAGTGTTAGTATGATTAATGACTGCTAATGAATTGAAAGAGATTTTGAAAGTAGCGGTTGTAAGTTAATTTGAGGTTCTGTTATGGAATTTCCCTGGAAGTACCGAGGAAAAACACGAACAATCTCAGGAAAAAGGGTCTTCGGGTCGAAATTAGAACCTGGATTCTTCTGGACACGAAGTAGAGATGTTACCTATTAGGCTGCGATATTCATTGTTTCGGAGGAATCTGCTTCCTTCATCTTCAAGGTAACATGACTGAAATGTCCTCCCACATGTTGGTGTCTGTCTGTCAAATTACAGGGTGCCACATCCCAAAGAAGTATGCCGTAACCTTTGTTCCTTTTATGGTTTACTGTGGATGGAGGTAATGCCTTATGAGGAGCTTCATCATTTGAGCTCTTCAGCAAATTGGACTTCCATTGGTGTGATAAAATCAGGAGGATAATTGGGCGGATGCCGAAGATGCGAAATGCATAAAAAATTTTAATTGTAACCTCTCAAGTGGGGAAAGCACTTGCCGATCTAAACATAGATGGAAGGATAATATTGAAATGGATCTTAAAGAAACAGAACTGGATTCGTGGCTCAAGATAGCGACCATCGGTGGGATCTTGTGAACATGGCAGTGAACCATCGGATTTCATAAAATGCAAGTATTTTCTTGACAAGCTGAGCAACTATCAAGTTCTCAAAAAGGATTACGCTTCATGAAACTAGAGAATTATCTTCGGCACTTTTATTCATTTTCGTAATTATCAATATCTTGGATCTTATTCGATATATTGTATATATAACTGCTATTTCCGAAACTATTCTAAACCACATAAGGATACTACGATTAAACAGTTATTGCGGGCATTTTAACTATTTTGGTTTGAAAATAATGAACACGGATATGAGCATTTATACACGATTCAAAATCAGGTGGTCATCCAATTATAATTTTACTCCGCAATATATAATTCCGATTGGCTTGCACTTCTATAGGTGACAACTTAGGCACAAATAGCCGATCACGATCATAAAATCATGTTGGCAGTACCTCATGTAAAGTCACGTCATGCAGTATCTTTCGATTTATACCGACGTTAGCTGGGAGTCGATATTGCGTATGGCAAGAGTTTGATCGATAGAAGTAAGATGTCCGAGTGTGTAGTCGGTAGCATATTTGTTTGTTAAATAATAGCTAAATGAGCTATGGGCTTATGTAGTTTTAGGTAGTCTTAAGTAGAATACGATTCTTCGCGTACAGTGATTTTCATATAGTGCGCTACTACGAATCAAAGGTATATCTATGCTGTACATATTCAGATGTTTGTTGCTAATGTTGATATGCACAGTTTTCATTAACAGAATGTAACTGTTGGGTTTGTGATGCTTTGTGAAGCAGAAATAATTGCTGCTTGTTGTCATATTTCTTTTGTTAAAAGACACGAATATGCATTACTATTGATGTATAGGTTATGATGTGGGACATTTCTAATGTTGTAGATTGACTCTGTTTGGGGTTGGGCCCCTCCTCCCCTGCGCCTGCACTTGGCCCAGCATCCTCGCAGCAGGATGGGGGAAATGGTAATAGGGGAGCGGCCCCCTTCACCTGCTCGTCTTGCACATACTTCAGAGAAACATCCTCGAGGAACGTTAACTGAGTTGAATGTATTACGACGTCACCGTGAACTGTGTGATGTTGTACTGAATGTTGGTTCCAGGAAAATATTTGCCCACAGGTTTGCGAATAACTTGATTAATGTGTTTCTATTCTGATTGTATGTGGTAAAATTATGGAAACTAGAAGTTCCAGGAAACAACTTTCTATCTTCATTTTGTAGGTGGTTATTCAGGAGTTGTGTTGCAATGGAAAGTGTAAGTGGAAATTGGAAGCACCCTTCAGTAAATGTACAGGAACAGCCTTCCTATTGCACACAGCATAGGCCTTTATACATGTGACATAGCTATTCAGTCTTAGTCCACAGGCCACATGTTTCATGTGGGCTGTAGTTTACCCTTCCCTGGTATAAACTCATGTTTTATATGCATGAACTACAGTTGAACTCCATGTCTCTTTCTGTATAAACACAAGAACTTCCTGTGCCCGTGATCAGAGCAGAACTGCTGAAGTTTGGAACGTAGCTACATATTTGAATGACAAGAATATTAACAGACAGTGTAACTCAAAATAATAATTTGTACAGAAATGTTCTCCGTACTCTCATCTGCAGCAAATACATAGTGCATGATGGAACTGTCTTTCAAGTGATTATATGAATGAAGAGCTTCAGTTCACATGAGAGATGCACTATAACTGAGATTAAATCCAGTATGAGGTGTTACATGACTTTCCACAGTCTTTCCAGGCAAATGCCAGTATAGTACTATCATATAGGCCACAACCAGTTCAGCCGCATCATTGCTTGCTCACCATTCATGACAGTTGCCTCCTTTTATTCAATTCTGTGTAACGTCTATAGATGAAACAACATATCTGAATCTGAAATCAGTGATTGGTCTACTGATAATTCATAAATCTTACTTCTTGAGCTAATTATTAGGAGGACTGCAACACATTGTTCGGGTAACATGTTTTTTTTTATTGCTAGTGGGGTGGGACTAAGTCCCTTGTCCTGCGGCCACTTCTGGCCTATTGTACCAGCCCCAGATGATAGATGAGGGTTATTGTGGAGCAATTGGTGGAATGAAGATTGGCAGGAAAACCGAAGTACTCGGAGAAAACCTGCCCCAGCGCCACTTTGTCCATCACAAATCCCACTTGACCAGACCCGGGATCAAACCTGGGCCGCTGCGGTGGGAAGCCAGAATAGATAGTAATTTGAAGAAATGCAGTATTGTCACATGTATTAGTGACTGTAGACGGGGTTTGGATTGGTAATTGTGTTTGCTGAACACTTAGAGTTTGTAACTACAAGTAACTATAATAGTATTACAAATTCACACAATCTGCAGTTCAGTACATCATGTACTAAGTCTTCTCAGTCTGCCCTGTCTTCACCAGTGGACATTTCTATACTCCTGGGCTCACATCCTTGCAGGCTGGCAGCCATCTCACCAACCTCCTACATTTCTAATTGCTGTCTTAAGACTCCTTTTCAGTCAGTCATTTGGTCAAATTGCTAATGGTCTGCAGCAGCAGAGTCATTCCTGACTTCAGTTTCCTTGAGATCCAGGACCAAGATCTATATTCTCTCCAAGATATGTTCATGTTTTGAAATGGGGCCCCCTCTTCAACAAAGGAGGGACTGGTCTTTCTGTGCAGGCTGCTAGGTTTGTTGCACAGTAGTTTCAGCATGAGTATAAATTTATTGCTGAAATGTCTGTCAGTGAGTTCAGAGAGACAGCACCAAATATTAGCAACATTCACTGTATCTCCTTGATAATGGGGTGGCTGTTATAAAGATTGATTATAGTATGTATAATTGTATGAAAATGACAAAATTGTTAAACTGAGAGGAAGTGATTGTTGATTGTAATTCTTATTATTGTAACTGTTTAAATGAAAGTGAAGATTTAAGGACAAGAAATTGCATTGCTCTTGTACATATTCGCTTGTTTGTCCTGACCCTGTTCCAGCTACAGAATTTAGGTAATACTACATGGGGTGAGAAACTTACCATGCAATTTTTTTTTTTTAATTTGCTTAGNGGGGGGTGGAGTCCAAGAGGGTCCACTTGGCATGGCGGCCACTGATTGGCCTATTGTAGCATGCCCCGGGTGATTATGATGATGGAGAATTTGTCGGAATGAAGATTGGCAGGGGAACTGAAGTACTTGGAGAAAACCTGCCCCAGCGCCACTTTGTCCACCACAAATCCCACTTGATGAGACCCAGGATCGAACCCGGGCCGCTGCGGTGGGAAGCCAGCGACTAACTGCTTGAGCTATGGCACGGCCTTAACTTACCATGTATGGTGAACAAGTAAGGATTTGGATGGGAGTGGTTGTGGCCTGTTTCAATGTAATATACCCAGCATTTGCCTGGAGAAATGGAGAAAAAACCTTGAACATCTCAAACAGGATTTACACAGGTATAGTGTGTGGCTCTTGTGAACCACAACTGTTCATTCATACTGTGACAGGAAAAATGTTCCTTTGTACACTTTATATTTATTGAAGATTAGATTAAACCACTAATGACAAGTGTTCCGTTTCTGCAGAGTTATCCTCTCAGCATGCAGCCCATACTTTCGAGCCATGTTTACTGGGGAGTTGGCAGAATCTCGACAGACAGAAGTGACAATTAGAGACATTGATGAAGTGGCAATGGAACTCTTAATTGATTTCTGCTACACTTCTCACATTGTAGTTGAGGAGGGAAATGTGCAAACGCTTCTGCCAGCTGGTAAGTTGGAAGCGGTTAGTGTGTCATAATTGCAGATACATGATGAACATGTGTGCATGAACTTTGTTATCCGAAAATAAATCTCTTTAAACCTATTGGTGAGTGAGTTTTGATAAATTCATATGAATCTGTCATACCCATATAATGTTACCTGTTATCAGATTCACGTATAATATTGCTGAAACACTAACTAGAGCAGTCATTTTTAAGAAGATGGTAGTCACTCAACTAGCAAAGATATTCCCTGCATTTTATGGAACCCAGGGCTTCAGTATTGAATTAATGAGAGCCTGTTATTGCCTTAGATCTCCTAAGAAGTTCTCTTCAGATTTTCTGATTAAACTTTTATATACATTTCTTGTCTCTACCATGCCTACCATGTGCATTGTACATCACATCCTTTTGCTTGTGCTTATTAATATCACTGAAAGAGTGGGTATTTTTATGGGTTATGTTTGCTAGGTTCGTTATATGACATATTTTCAGCTGTATTGCACGTGTATATCTCGTAACAGAGCAGTTTACTTAGTTCAAGCACTGTATTCACCTGAACCTAGAGACCTTTTCTTAAGTCTTAAATTTATGAAAATATTATGTACTTCTCAAATAAAATACATTTAATTACAAAATTATTCACATTGTCATGCTAACGTTACTGTCATTTATATATGCATNCCCTCCCGAAGTTTGGCACATTCCTCCTGGGACATCCTGTATATGCACGGTAGCATGGTTGAGGCACTATGCTACAAGCTGTAAGGTTGTGGGTTTGAGTCCTGATGAGGTGGACTTTTTCAATTTACCTAATCCTTCTAGCTGCACAATGACCCAGGGGTTCACTCAGACTCTAACAGAAATGAGTACCAGGAATTTTTATGGGGTGGTGGGGTAAGGGCAGCTTGTGCGTAAGTCTGGCAACCTTACCACGATCTGTGAGCTGATTGTCTAGAGCAAATGTGAAAGCTGCAACCTCTCGCAACCCTATGTGCCTTCACGGCCTGTTAGAGGGATAACTTTACCCTTTTACCTTTAGTTCTTCTCATTTTTTCATCATTGTCCTCCTCCTCAGCCAATCCCCAACCAGGAGGACTAGGTCTCTCTGTTTATGTCCTCCACTGGCAGGGTGGCCCAGTTGTACCTTCAGGAACTGAGTTCTCTTTCCGTTTTAAGGGCTATGGTGGAGGTATTCTAATCCACCTCCACATGGCATGTCTGTTTTAATTGAAATTATTGTCATCTCAAAGTGTCAGAATTAATTTTGAGACCCACCAATGCAGGTACTAACAGTGTAACCTAAAATCTTTCAAGGAGAAGCTTCCATGAAATGTGCTGACAAACTGAGCAACTGACAAACTTGCAAGAAGGATTCTGCTCCATGATTTACTTAGCTTTTTATTGTATGCATAATTAATAGAAATAGCATTCATAATTGACTTCTTTAATTCCACTAAGAATCTGATTATGAGCCAAAAGTTTAATTCATTAAGGCGATCAATTTTACATACTGTCTCTACAGTCTGCTGTCTCTGAAGTGACAGGAGGTTGGAGAAAACTGCATAATGTGGAGCTTCATAACTTATACTCTTCTCCAAGTATAATTAGAATGATCAAGTCAAGGAGGATGAGGTGGGCAGGTCATGTAGCACGAATGGGGGAGATGAGGAATGCATATAGGATATTGGTGGGAAAGCCAGAAGGAAAGAGACCACAAGGAAGACCAAGGCGTAGGTGGGTGGACAATATTAGAATGGATCTTAGAGAGATAGGATGGGATGGTATGGATTGGATAGATCTGGCTCAGGATAGGGACCAGTGGAGGACTCTTGTGAACACAGTAATGAACTTTCGGGTTCCATAAAATGCTGGGGAATTCTTGAGTAGCTGCAGAATTGGCAGCTTTTCCAGAAGGGCTCAGCTCCATGAGTAAGTAAGTAGGTAAGTAAGTAAGTCTCTACACCTCATTAAATTATAACCAGGTTCAGCAAAACTGTGTGTGAAAATAGTTGAATGGCAGCAGTGGTGATTTTTTAACTTTTGTATTCTTGAAGGTTTGACATATATATATATATATATATATATATATACATATACATACATATACATATACATCATACTGTGATGTAGTAAGACATGTGGCTTCTTTTGTTTGTTCATAGCATGTCTTCTGCAGCTGGCTGAAATCCAGGACATATGTTGTGAATTCTTAAAAAGACAACTAGATCCTTCGAATTGCCTGGGTATTCGGGCTTTTGCTGACACGCATTCATGCCGAGAACTCCTTCGAATTGCAGACAAGTTTACACAGCATAACTTCCAGGAGGTGATGGAAAGTGAAGAGTTTTTGCTCTTACCTGTGGGTCAGCTGGTAGATATTATCTCCAGTGATGAACTTAATGTGCGTTCTGAAGAACAAGTGTTTAGTGCTGTGATGTCATGGGTCAAATACAATGTGTCTGAACGGCGACAGCATTTAGCACAGGTAAGTTATAAGTAAATTGAAAGATCTGATATTCTGATGTGTTCTGCATGTTAAATTCCAGTTTTCAAGAGCAAATATTAATGTCCATTTCTGAACATGCAAACTTTGATTTTTAACTATATGACTTGTTAATATGTGTGCATCATTCTTACTGTTTTGGTTTGTTTTGTATAAAATTTAAAAATAATCACAAAACTCATTATGTTCAGAATCTTGTCTTGTCTTAATATGAGGCTGTACAAGCTGAGGGATATCCTTTGAAGCAGTTTGAACAAGTGTTTTGAGTTTGCCGGTTTGCTATTCTTATACTGACTTCTATCATATATATATATAGGGGGTTGACAAAATAATGGCAGCACTATTTGTTATTATTTTTTTATTATTCATAGTGGGGTGAGACTCCACTACTGGCCTATGTAGAGACTGGCTTTTAATAAAGGATTCATATCAGCAATTAAAAGAATAGGGTTTGATGTTATGATTTGTGCTGCTGAAGTGTGCAGCTTTGCACTTTTTAGACCGTCTTGAAATTTGTATTTTGTCTTTTATTCTCAGACCATATGTAGAGAAATGTTGACCATGTATGTCTGTTTTCTGCATTAGGTATTGCAGCATGTGCGCCTTCCACTGTTGAGCCCAAAATTCCTGGTGGGGACGGTTGGTTCTGACCTTTTGGTGAGGAGTGATGAAGCATGCCGTGATTTAGTGGATGAGGCTAAGAACTATCTTTTATTACCTCAAGAGCGGCCATTAATGCAAGGTCCACGTACTCGTCCGCGGAAACCTACTCGCCGAGGGGAGGTGCTGTTTGCTGTAGGTGGTTGGTGTAGTGGTGATGCAATTGCTTCAGTGGAACGATTTGATCCTCAGTCAGCTGATTGGAAGATGGTGGCCCCCATGAGCAAGCGAAGGTGTGGAGTTGGAGTAGCCGTGCTCAATGATCTGCTGTATGCTGTAGGTGGTCATGATGGTCAGTCTTATCTGAACAGCATTGAGAGGTATGGAAATAAAATGAGTCATGTTAAGACAGATGGATAAATAGTGATTTCTTGGGAGACAGGAAATATCTTACAGTGTCAGTTATACATGAATTATCTAGCATACAAATCATGACATTTTGATGAATCATTGTGTTCAGATGGAAATTGTGGCAATTAAAACAAGGATGAGCATTGAGAGGTGATTTCAAGACGTAGGTCCTTCACTAAATGAGATTGGCCACTTTGAAAATTGTTCTCACGTATTTGAAGCAACAAGGTGATAACTGTAATTAACTAGTGCCACAATTTGTACATGAAGGAAAAAAGTTGAGACATTGAAAAGGAAACAGACATTTTGGGTCTATATGAGTATAGAAAAAATACTTGAACAAAAAGTTCTGGGAAGCAAGACTGTTATATTTTCCTATTATTAGTTTGTGTTGAGATTGTATAGACTATGTACAAAGTCTGACAAATAACTAGAGACATTTTATAAGACGTATTCTGTCACATTTAATGAGTGTGGTTCCCTTAAAGGAAATCTGTATATATGTTAGCAGTCCAACGTCTGTGTGATGGCAGGATACAGTGCTTCAAATCATTTTCCAAAACTCAATTCAGTACCATTATCATATTGTTCTGAATATCTTCAGGCGATTCAAAATGAGGCCCTTTCAAGGAGATGTTTAGTTTTGGGAACCTGAAAGTTACAAGGGGCAAATCAGATGAATACTCTGGATGCTTGAATACTTGTATTTGATTTCAGGTAAAATATCACTTTAACTAGAGTGATGTGCTACAGAGCATGGTGTTACTGTACAAAACACATTTACCTTGCCAAAGATGTGGTTTTTTCAATGTGTTCGTGCTTTAAAATATTTTCAAAAGTTGAAGTTAAAATGCCTGGTTGTCTGTTTTGGAAGAACATATTTGTAATTAATAATTCCTTCGATATCACAGAAGCAGATCAGCATGAATTTGATCTCTGATTTTGACATTTGTGCTTCGTCTTATTCTCTTCTCTTTCCCCCATTCTCAGAGAGTCAGGACTTTTCTGTTGGAGCCTCTAGTAACTTGTTTCTAGCTCATTACTGGAAGGTCTGAATTGAATTGCCTGTCACTTTTTGTTTTAAACAAATGGTCATGTTTTCCAAGCAGTTTTGCAGAACAGTCTGAGAATATTTTCTCGGATTTATTACTTTCTACTTATGACTTAGTACCATTTTGGTACAGACTTTTTCATACTGAGACCTTTGTCCATGTAAGTTCCTCTTTTCATGCTTAGTCTTGCCACTGTCTTCTGACATGTTAACAGATGTGTATTTCTCACCATTTCAGTTATTTTGACAGTTGAATAAGTTTCTATAATATCTTCCTTTCTATCTTGAAATTGCTTATCCTACATAAAAACCTGCATTCTGCTCCTGTAACATTTTGTGAATGTTTTTTACTAGAATTTTAATATTGATTTTCTGTGCTAAGAACTTAGCACCACAAACAGTACACTGCACCAATGAAGTGATCTTTGTAAGCATTTTCAGCAGCTGTGTGTCACAAAGTGCTGGCTATGTTAACGAGGTGTCTGTAGAGTAGAAGGAATTGTTGTTGCAGGTATGATCCACAAACGAACCAGTGGTCTTGTGATGTTGCACCAACAACATCTTGTCGAACTAGTGTGGGTGTAGCAGTTCTGGACAGTTTTCTTTATGCAGTCGGGGGCCAGGATGGAGTCCAGTGCCTTAATCATGTTGAGAGGTTGGTGGTCTGAACGTTCATTTTATCAACATTTCAAGGTATACATATGGAATTGGGACAGATTTACACCACATTTTGATTATGAGGTTAATTTCACAGATGTAACATCTGCAACATCTGCTAGTACAGGGAGATTATCTGAGAACCTTCCAAAAATTGTTAAGCAGGTTTTGTGGGAGGGAAATATGCTCCTCATGTCAAATATTTCTGCATGTGTTGAGATCCACAGGACAGTTGACAAGCCCATAGGCTAACAAATAAAACCCACTCAGATCACAGCATATGTCAAAAATGTGTCCTGTTTTGACATGTGGATTCCTTGTATCTGTGTAAGCGTTCGCATTTGTATATTGAGGTTCATTTTGAGAACTAGAAGAGCCTTGAAACTTCAAACCACTGCATTGTGTGTGAGACATTTAATGGATTTTCAAGGGGAATGTTCAAGCCTGTCGCTAGATTCATCCAGTTTTTCTTCAGTAATCATTTTCATTTGGTTGTCTCCTGTGGTAACTGTGTGTGTGTTAATTTATGTGTGATTATATGAATAGTTTTTCTGTTTGTAACTAACATTCTTGAATGTACACCAGAATATTTTCCTCACTTTCTGCATAGATATGTATAAACTCTTCACATTTTGGCTCAGGAAGTAATGTGATTGATTGACTGTTTAACACAGTAGTGTTTACTTGGTATTACGAGTACAGTTATCAGGCACATAATGCATAAACTCACTTTATGGTAGTTGTTCAACAATTTATTGGCATGATGTTAAAGACAAATGTAATGTACAGTACCATCAATGCTGTAGCAACTATGCCATGAGTCTGAACTCATGCCTTTAAAGTGATATGAGGATTGCTGCACCTTCTGCAAGACCAGCCAAATATTTGTGGCATGCTCTTAGATAATCTTCATGCAGAATCATGTCAGTGAAGTGTGTATACTATAAATTATCTTATTCTATGTGAAATAATAATACTGACAGTTTACATAGTAGATACAAACTGAAAATATTTGTTACTTCTGTATCAATTTAGGTATGATCCTAAGGAAAATAAATGGGGCAAAGTTGCACCTATGACTACTCGACGTCTTGGGGTAGCTGTAGCAGTGCTAGGAGGATTCTTATATGCCATTGGTGGCTCGGATGGGCAGTGTCCTCTAAATACAGGTATTTATAATTTTTAGAAGGACTTTCTGCAAAGAATGAAAAATGAAATTGCCCTCTCTAGTTTTTATGTAGAATCAGAATGGAATTGGGGGGGGGGAGACTGAGTATTCTGTAATACATACAGAAATTAGAAAATTATTTATATTAATTTATGTATTATACAGAGATCTCAGAAAAGAGCTCCCCAAGTTTTAATATTTAATACCTTGTTCAGTGTGAGACATAATCACCAGATTTATCGTGAAATGTTCAGCCATGAACCAATGTTTAATTTGCTTTTTTTTTTCTTGGCACTACAGCCCCAGTGGGCCTAGGCCTACCTCCATGAACTTCTCCGTTCACTTCTGTTTTTCTAGATCTTAGACATACGGCAGGACTCCTTGGACGGGTGATCAGCTCGTTGCAAGGCCTCTACCTGTACACAAACACAGAAAAACGCACACACACAAACTAAACATCCATTCCCTGAGTGGGATTCGAACCCATGATCCCAGCTTCCGAGCAAGCAAAGACAGTGCATGGCTTAGACCGCTCGGCTACTGTGACCGGCTTTTAATTTGTTTCCCTACACAAATTGATAATATCAAAAATGCATCTGCATTTGTTTTCAGTCTTCCAGTTCACCATGAACCTTTATATGGATCATTTGAGACACTATTAGTAACTAGTCTATATAATGTTGAAAGGTATGATGATAGATGAATTGGAGAGGATTTGGAATGATGTGGCCATGGCTTATTTAAGGTACTGTTTCAACACATGCCTGTAGGGATTGAGGAAAACCATGAAAAACCTCAGTTTGGATAGCTCATATCCTAGCCAAGATTTGAACTGAGCATCTTCTGAATATTAATCAAGAGTGTTACAGTGCGTCAGTCTGTCAGTCAGTCTATGGAATGCCAGCTTTCCTAATTGCTGGAATGGCCTCAAACAATCCATGTTTTACACAGTTGAATTTCCTCATGTAGAAATATGTGAAAATATTTCCAATGCAAAGAAAATTATTGAATTGAGATATCCACAAGAAAGAATCACTTCATCTGTAGTGACATTATTTGCTGTGCTTGGACCGAACTTGAATATTGCTTGGATGTCTGAACAGCTGCAAACTGTGTTCATAAACACATTTAAAAAAATATATGTACATAAACTTTAAGACATTTTCTAAGACTAATCACTATTTCTATTTTGTATTTCAAGAACTCGTAAATTTCTAGTGAGTAGTATCATATTGAATGCAGCATGCATATGCAGCTATCATTGTGACATACACATGCATAATCTAAAATTTGGTGAGTTGTATAATATTTGATGTAATTGTATTATGAGTATGTCTCTGGTTGAGTGAGATATTAAATCTCATTTATTTTTATTTTTGAGACCCTGTGTTGCTTTACTGAAAAATGAGTTTTATTTTGTATGTTGTGGATTTTTATTATTGATCACGAGAATCTTTGATGTGTATGTAGCATTTGTATTTGCAGTGGAACGATATGACCCCCGTCAAAATAAGTGGTCGCCAGTGTCACCAATGTCAACAAGACGTAAACATCTAGGTTGTGCAGTCTTTAACAACTTCATCTATGCTGTGGGTGGCAGAGATGACTGCATGGAACTCTCCAGTGCTGAGCGTTATAATCCCCATTCTAATACTTGGAATCCTATTGTGGCTATGACCTCACGGAGAAGTGGGGTATGTTATTAAGTATTAAAAATTTGAATCTCACATGCAGTTCCCAGAATATATTGATCAGAATAAAATATAACTGTAATTTTTAATCTGGAATTGGGAAATGAGAATAGTGTGCATGATTTAATTGGAAACCTGAATGGAAGGGAATGCTTGGGAAACTAGCTATAGATGGACATTATTAAACAAATGTACTATGAGTGTGAGGACTTCATTCATCTGTTATAAGAGAGCGCCAGTCAGGTTGTCATTGGGTTTATGGGAGCTTTTGAGGATCCTGATGGTCTGCTGTTGGATCTCCTCTGCAGTCTTTTCAGGCAGGGCCCCTGTTACCTTCTCCACCCTGCACAGGATATCCTTGATGGGGATAGACGCCGGAGCCACAGCAAAGCTCAGGCCCTTGCTTAGGGCTGAGCAAGCTGCTTCTTCCAATGGCACTTCACTCAGATTGACCACAGTTTTCTTGTTGTCAGGGGGGTGAGGTGGGTGCTGGGCCTTATGCAAGTGTTGGAACTTTGTCCAGTGCCTAGCTCTCATGTCATCAGTGGTGCACAAAACCTGAGTTGTGTTGTGGTCAATCAGATCCCAATCATCGACTGACAGGTCCTGGGCCAAGCGCATATGTAATTTAAACAGCTCTTTGGAAACAGTATCCACCTCCTTCCTGTTTGGGTGGATGTGTTTACAGAGCGGACAGAAGCTAGTACGTCTGTAGATCCTGTTGGTAGCATCGAAGTTTATATGGTGATGTAACTGAAGTAAATGAGGAATGGTGTTGTGGTCCCTGCATCTAAGCAGGAAGGGAAGGGTACCTAATACCCTTGGTTCATAGCGCCTCGAGTTGTCAGATGTGTTGATGAGTAGCCTCCCCATAGAGGAATGCTATGCAAGATTTGAGGTTTTCATGGCGCTGACTATGAAGAATGCTGTCTTCTGGGATGTATGTGTATAGTCTGAGCTGCTGACAGCATCATTGAATAAACCATAATAAATAGAAATAAATAAATAACTAAAGTAAATTTACTACTACTACTACTACTACTACTACTAATAATAATAATACTGTGATGTGTTTTAATAATGTTGCTTAATTGTGAGATTGCATCTACAAAGAACACGGACAGTGATCTGTGATTAGATTTTTGTGGTCACAAGGTATGAAAACTAGTGACTCTTCAGTGTGTCCATAACTGTGTGAGCCAGAGAAAAATTTATGAATGAGACAGAAATACAAAAGAGAACAAGTGTTGATGGTGTGCAATCTGGGCTGTACTGCACAGTGTATCAAGGATAATCACAGAATCAAAATTTATTAAACAGTATCTGAAATAAGCATCAATTATGAAAGGAATCAATCTAAGAATGGCTTAAAACTTGACAGAGAACATTCTTTTTGATGGAATCATAACACGTTCAGTCAATTGGTCCGAATGCATAGAATAGCATGGTAATTACATACAAAAGTAAGATTTGTGTTATGACTATGATTATTTTCTCAAAATGTATGCTAATACAACTGCTTTTAATGTTTTTCTTACTTTCATATACAGCATAATCTATAATGAATTCTGTCCTTATACAATGGTAATGCATGTACAAATATCTTTATGACACAGAACAAATTATTTATAAATTGAGGCACTAAAACATAATTTCCTGTTGTAGGTTGGACTTGCTGTTGTGAATGGACAGCTGTATGCTGTTGGTGGCTTTGATGGGACAGCGTACTTGAAGACAATTGAAGTGTATGACACTGATCAGAACCACTGGCGCCTGTGTGGAGCCATGAACTACCGCCGCCTGGGGGGAGGGGTGGGGGTCATGCGTGCCCCACAGACTGAAAACTATTTCTGGTAATGATTCATTAACCATGGCTTCCCAGTGCGACAAGTTGCACCCGTAGCATTTCTCCAGGGACTTGATGAAATAACATTTCTTTTGTGTGTAGCCCTAACTGTCAAAATAATTAACAACTGTCTGAATTTTTTCAGTAAAAAGAAGATAACAGTATGAAGCTTTTGTTTTCACACACTGCTGTATGTGTGCTGCGATATGTTCGTTTCATATGCCACCAGGAGTTGAGACAAAATATCGCTGGATTGCAAGGACCCAAATGTACCCATCAGAGCAGTGAGTTGTGCATCAAGCATCATATTACAAGACTTCAAAATGAAAATCACATAATTTATTTTCATTTCTAAGTTGGGTTAGTGAAGGTGACCTTTATATCAAGTGTTTTTAAACAATTCTTGCTCCTTTCTTTATTTTTATTAGTGAAACTTCTTTCCAAAACATTGCTGTCTTTTTGTCCCCCAAAATATATATATATATATATCTGTACTTCCAGTGCTAATTGTGAGGATAACAAGAGAGTTGTTCAGTGAAGTGCACTGTTATATAATTTTATTGTGTTTGTATGGTATAAAGGCGTGTTTTAGATTTTGTGGATATTGTTAAAGAAATAATTTTGTCATTAAATATAAAATTTTTGTGATCATGATTTGTGGAGCTGAGATAGCTGTCAGTATATTGATGGGCTATGGGCTGGATGGTTGGAGTTTGATTTCCTATAGGGGCAAGATTTTTCTCTTCATAATATTTGGATGTCTCTGGAGCCCATTCATCTTTTTCCAGTGTGTACTGGGGATCTTCCTGCGCAGGTAAAGTGACAGGTATGTGAAACCGACCACTCTCCTCCATCCAGTACTGAGGTCAAGAATGATGGCGCTATACCTGCACTCCTGCATACATCTTTGTGACATGGTGCTTAATGAATTAAGCACAGGGATAATTTTACCTTTTATGTTTCCTGATCATGATATAATGGTAAAATGAATTTTGTTTCATATTGTTAGCTTGTCTAAAGAAATGTTATGAAGGATGATGATGAATGAAACATAATATATAGTTGTCCTGTTTGGACTAATGTGTCTGTAGGTTTGTGGACATATACACATCAGAATTTATATGTGTATATTTGTAATGGAATCAGCACTGTCTTAAGATGGTGGGACTACCATAGCCATATGACAGAAGGGTTTATTCTTTATGGAATTGAGTCTATTCAGGATTTTAGATCCTCACAGCGGTAGTTATGAAGAGTTCTGTCTTCTGGAATATAATGCTGTGTAGTCCATTGAAAGTCAACCATCACTTCGGAGGAACATGTGACCACCATATTGAGAATTTAAGAATAAACCAAGCAGGAAATCAGTGTGAAGCAGATATGAAGCAGAGCTGGTTTCTTGCTTGCTTTATTCTTTGACCCTGAAGATGAAGGTGACATTTTCCTCTGAAATGTCAGTTTACATTCAACAAACTACACATTATTATATTCCAGAAGATAGAACTCTTCAAAGTCTACTCAGTTATACCTAAAATCTGTTAGCCTATTCACAAAACACCGCATATGTTCTGGACTACAACAGTGTCTGTAGTACTTGTGCATTACTTAGCCACTGAGTTGTCTGCTAGAGTTCTGTGTTACAGTCTCTGTTCAGAAAATGGCTTTTTACTGGATTCATGATATGCCATTCACTTACATTGTTGATGTCACACAGTCCTGTGTTAAGATTCTAGTGGCTGGCACATACACATTTTACTGATTCATCAGAGGAGAGAATGAATTAATCCACACTTTTTAAGGAACTAATATGTTGAATATATTCAGCTCGTGTCATTTGCCACTAATTCCATTCCACACCCCAATAAAAATTATATAATCATTTTCATGTTATAATGAGAATTGTAACATACTTAAATTACTAATTGTACTTTTTTATTATAGGGAGTTTTGGAAGTATCCTTTGCAGTGAGGCAGCATATGTATCATATTGTAACGTGTTTCGTTACTGAAGACGCCGTTCAGATTGTTAATTGGTTTATTTAACAACCTACAAGTATCGGCTACAATTAATTATAACAATGTTACGGGTTTCCACACTTTACAAACCCTACAACCAAATCTCTTCACACTATCATGATTCACTCGTTACAACTGAAATCGGTGACTACTACAATTCAACTCGCTCCTTACTGCTCACTGCTGGCTAGATTCCAACTCATCCCTGGTAGGCTGCTGCCTTGAGAATTGTCTTTGGCGGCTGTGTAGTTCCCTCATAAACCCTCAGCCAGACAACGGGAAAACATTTACGTAATAGGCACCACTGTTGTCTGACGCCGTGTTTACAGTGGCGTTGCATGCCACGTCACAGTGCGGAGGGGAGGCGGAGCGCTGACTCACCCGCCACGTCACCATGGCCAGAGCTGCCACGTCGCTGCTGGGGGGGAGGGGGTGTCCTCCATTGCGCAACATGTCACAATATGTTTTTTCAGTCACTAAGCCCTTGTAACTTGACTACCAGATTGCATCATCAAATGTACAAGTAAACAAACATATGGCTTTCAAGTAATAGTTTAATTAGGAAATTTGGAAAGAAAGTCATTATGTTAACTGATAACATTTTATTATGTGTGATGGTGTTGGAAGATTTACTAAAGAGCAAGTAATACTGAAGTAACCAAATCCTATCTGAAGAGGGCAGTTCAGAGTTTAATGACAAATGTAATTAATTCAGGTTACTATATTCTTGAGAGAGATTTTTATCAAAGTATACAATAACAGTACACACAAAACAATATTTTTTTACATTTCCAACGAAAGCAGGCACAGAAAATAACAACATAGTTCCTATATTACCATCTAAATTATGCTTTACATTGCATGTAGGAGAACAACAGATTTTCAGATAATCTCTTTAAGTAGAATTCAGCTCCTCACACACTGGATTTCTTTGAGAAATGATTGCTACCAAATTGAATTGAAAATACATACAGTCCATATAAATACAACATAATTAAAATGTATTACTGGTAAAGCTTTGTCTAATGTAAAATATGTGCTATCAACAAGTCATTCTTAAAAATAAAGTCAAATTTAAATTAATCTAGCCTTAGTCAGTACCACGAAGCTCTGGCCAAATGTACAAGTGGCGATGAATGCACAGTGGTCTAATGTGATAAATCAACCAAACTACCATGACGAGTAGTGTAGGGAAGTAACCAGTCGGTGTCTATTGACATACATCAGGTTAGAACCCTAGATGAAACGGTTCTAGCTCCTCTCCCACCTTGGAAGTTTGCACACCCACCATATTATTGCCCTTCATAGAATGTTACTAATTACAGCAATACAGCCGGCATGGTATTTCTGTCTTGTCAATCTCTCTTGCCCTAAGTGACCATCAGGTTATACTAAATGTATAAAAAGGGAAATAATTTGAAATTGGAAAGGCTTACAGTTTACAAGCAATAGTTTATCTGTTATCAGTTCTTGTTGCCATCATGTTATGAAGTTGGCTGTACTTATTCACTATGAAAACGGCCACAATGAAAGATAAGTCAACATACCTGAGATTACTTATGTTTCTTCGTGTCAAGAAAATGTTTTTACAAGAAAAGTGTGTGTATACTGAGATACAAGTTGTCAGTGATATTATTCCTATTATCACATTTTATAACAGTGTTATATGTGGCACTGTATACAATGTGTGTTATAGTGGGTAGGCCTACAGGAACGGAGAGTGAATTTTATTTTAGAAATTTGTCTGTCCTATGAAATATATGTTTTCCACCTGAATGTTTCAGGCCAACATATGTAAGGACAAAGTATGTACCATCATGTTATTTTTCTTGTACTGAGAAAATTTGTTCATAAGCAGACACTGTGTGTTCTAAATTACAAGTTGTTACTGGCATTATTAATCTAATCATATTTTATATAATTCTGTCAAATATGTATGGTACTGTATACAACACGGTAGCATAGTTGGTTGAGGCACTATGCTACAAGCTGGAAGGTCGTGGGTTCAAGTCCCGATGAGGTCATTGGATTTTTTTTAATTGACCTAATCTTTCCAGCCACACTATGGCCCTGGGGTCGACTCAACCTCTAACAGAAATGAGTACCAGGAATGTTCTTGGGGGTAAAGGGTGGCCGGAGCATAGGGCTGACAACCTTGCTGCCATCTGTGAGCCGATCATCTAGAAAATGTGGGAACCTCAACATCTCACAACCCTATGGGCCTCCATGGCCTGTTACAGGGATACCGTTACTTTTACTGTTTAAAACATTATATTGTAGTGGGTATGTGGATGGTGAGGCGATTTAATTCTAGAAATTTATGAATCCTCTAATAGAGAAAGGAATCAAGTGTTTTCCCCAACTAACACTTTGGTCTTTCCTGTGCAAGTAACAAGTATTGGCTGTCACCTTATAAGGTTGTGTAAAAGCCCTGTAACTGCTCTATATAAATTGAAACTAAGCTACAAGAATAATAATGAATACCTTGGAAAAGAAAATATGCAGTATGGATCTCTGATGAAGTTTGGGCAGTGTGTATAAAAATGAACAATCTGTCGACATGTGTGCAATTCAGCATATCTACGTCCTAAGTCACTTTAATGCAACATGATCTCAACTGGACCTGAGGGACTGTATGCTCACACGTACAGAAGGTTACTTGGTCAGCATGGCTGTACAGTGACAAGTGAGTAAATGCATTTTTTGAAATTAATAAATTTGACACCTTAAGTCAATTAGAATTTCCACAGTTCCAAAAGTATTCAGATACATGAATAATTTGTAAACCTACAGTGTAAAGTGTTACAAATGTTTCCAAGATTTGAATCCCTTTGTCGATTTAATAAAGTGACAGAAGAAAATCAGAAAATAATGTAACGTGTCTGGAATCCATAAGAGTCACTTCTATGTTGCATAGGAAACAACAATCGCTCTATTGTAGTTCTAATAGGAGTCTCCATGGTTTAACAGAGGGTTTGTTGCATAGCAGCGACCGAGGTTACAAAACGGGGTTGAATGCATTCGCACAGTTAGTCTGCTATAAACTGCCAGAGAAGACAGTCCAGTATCGGCCGAGACATTGTGTAAACAGTAATTGTAAGATTCAACGCTGGTAATTCGTGAATCCCAGAAGGAATTGGCCATCACACACAGAGGGACAACACGCCGAGAGAAAGCGGCACGGAGAACGCCAATACACAAGAGGATGTCCCGTCGCACGACAGTGGCACAACACGAGAGACATCGTGAAGAAGAATCTTACTCGGGGAGCTGGCGGACTCCGAGGAAACGAATGACCATGGCCGACAAGAAGATGACCCACCACGCAAATGTGGCACAGTACAAGAGACCCAGATCTCAGGGAGGTCAGTTTGAGTTATGCTCAAGCCCACCTAAGGATGAGCCGAAATGGAGATGAAAGGAACTTGAACGTGGGAGGACGGCAGAAGAATCCGCCGTGAAGGGGAAGGACGTAGAACGACCCAAGATTGAGAGTGAGACGATAACAAATACGGGCATCAAAAGTTGGACACTGTGGAGGGGTCGACCCCCTCCAAAACGGAAAAAGGCCCTTATGGGAGGAACCGGTAACGTAGAAGTACCGGCCTCCCCAACAAGGATGAATGGAGAATGGAAGT